CAGGCAAGTAAGAAGAGGAAGATGCAGCAATGAGGACAAGAATAAAAATTTCTGCCTGCAAGGATGAAAACCACAGGCTGTATCTGAACCTAAGAAAGGAAGAACTGGCAACATTTAGACATGATTCAAACATAAGAAACTCGAGAAAAATATGTGCTTAAGGGAGTGTCTAAAGATAGGGGCCAGGCAGAACATAGAGGACAGTGGTAACATTCACCCACAGAGAAAGGAAAAAGCAGAACGATTAGGTCCCTTTTAGTCATGTAGAACATATGCTGATAGCCAGGTGTATACAAGGAAGAAGTCACGAGGACAACCAAAAGTTGTCTTTCTAATAGAGAAACACAGAGGCGGAAAGGCAGGTCTGTGACAGTTCAATGGTTATGGATAGTCTCATTCTACTGCATGTATTCAGTTGCATTTCTAGTCAGATTAAGAACAGCTCACATGCTGGAGATAAGCTTTGTGGCCTAGCGTCTCCAACAGTCCCCATATTTTTTTAAATTCTGTTGTTACCTGAAGCTACTTTCATTCATGTCTTCCTCTAAGATTATCTGGTTCTAGTGACTGATTATAATTTAAATTAGCATTTCAAAATCTCTATTAGAAGCTTAATTCTTTTATTACATTTCCTTTTTATTACTAGTAAAGATGATGTCCGGGATAGTCATCTTTCCACATCAAACACTACTATGAAAATGGATGGATAATTTTGTTGCTCAAACTCACCTCAATTTCTGCTGTTAATTCTGTATGTTTTAGCACAGCTACTCATTTTGCCCTGGTGTTGTGTCCCCTGATGCTCTTCAAGGATTTACTTACAGTGATTCTGAGGTCTAACCATTTTATTTTCAATTTTATTTTTGTTATTCTCATTCTCTCCTATGTATCAATAGTCTGGGTTTATGTTCTTCTCATCGGTCTTGCACAGTTCCAATGTGGCATGTTTCAGGTCATTCTTTTACTGTGTTGTCTTGCATTTTTCTTGCATTTCTATTTTCTTTCTTTTTGCTTATCTTACACATTGGAAAAGACGGGGAACCAGAGTGGAGAACAGAGCCACAGGCTCTGCCAGTCTTACAAGGCATAGTTAAGGCATAGTTACAAGACATAGTCTCCATGTCTAAATATTTAAAGTCGTAAACGCCAACTTAATAGTTTGAACGTTTTAATGACCAGACTTTCTATAACAATATGAATCCCTTTAAATTGCAGCAGTTTCAGCCATGTTTATTTGAAAAGGTTCTGTTAGAGTGCATGGGCTAATCAACATCTAACTGTTCCAAAAACATGTCCTGAACTTTAGTTTTAATCTTTTGTATTACTATGCAATACTAAAGTCTAAAACTATTTTTAGTCAAATATTGACATCTTGTGGCATAAATTAGTCACTACAAGAACAACTGCCTCAAAATATGTACTCAGATTTAAAACACACATAATTAGTAATCGGAGTCGTTAATCTGGAGTCTGTGTCAGTTCAGTTCTTTATCTACATTGCTGTGAAGTGCACAAATTTGCATAGAGTGAGTTACTTTGAAACACTTCTTTTTTCTCCCTACACTTTAGTTTTAAAGCATTGCTCTTACCTAGTTTCTAAATTCCTTTCAGTATCTCAGAAGTGAATTAATTCCACTTCTGGGGGAGTTGGTGACCTCCCTTTGTAGGTTAGATTAATGTTCTCAGTATTCAGAAGTTCCACACAGCCAAGGTTTTACCTAATATCTTAGAAAATAGCACTGACAATCACGTAAGAATATTCTGTTCAGTGAGTTGTTTAGGAGGAATAACAGTTTCTCAGATGTCAAGCTCTCCTTTCTCCCTCCCCCCCAATATCCTGTAAAAATTCTCAGTTCCGGCTCTCAATGGCCTCTAGCTCACTCAGGAGAAGAATCCCACATTGTTTGCCAGCAACAAAAAGAAAAGTAACAGGGTCCTAGAGGGCTTCCTTCAATTTTTTAAGGAAAGGGTATCTTACAAGCAACAAAGCTTCTTCAGGGTAACATGAAAACTGGCAACTGTAGCTACTTGGTGCCACAGAATAAAACTGAAAAGCAATGCTGCCCTCATCAGGGAAACCTAGGCAATCTCAAATGAATTTGCAATCAGTTAAACCTCAGTTAAACACCTTCAGTTAATTTTCTTCTAAATTAGAAGAAATGAATATAAATATCTGTGGATTAGGTTTCTTTTTTTTTTTTTTTAATAGTACTTAGTTTAGCAGTTCCAATTCTTCTTTACCTAGCAAATATTTATTTTCCATTATCATTATTCACTGGTAACAGTCTCTGATGTCAAATACAGAACTGAACAGTAATTTTTTGTGACAGCTATTTTCAATGGGTCTTTCACTGTTCAGGTATGCATTATTATCAACATTCAAGCTTCTCCAGTTTTTAATTTCCTTTTCTTCCAGGAACCTCTGCTTATTTTTGTCTTCTGCTTTTTTCCCCCTCTTCTTCTTCTTCCTGTTCCTCCTTATTAAATACAAAAGTTTTCATCTATCATTTTTCTTAACATATCAATATGGTCACATCATGTATGGGTGAAAAGCAGGAATAATTTCATTTTCATTTATGAGTATGCACAGTAATTCTACATTAATGTAAAAGCTCTTGGTCTGTGATTGTCATACAAATAAGCACAAGCACTCATGAGTGAATTTGTGAACAATCTTGCTAACAGAAGGAAAAAAAAAAAAAGAAAAAAGTGGATTTAATACTCAAAAAAAATGCAAAGAAGCCCTAAATCACAACACCCCTACTCTTCCCCTCCTATTTTTACAGTGTTGACATCAATGACATTGTCACCTTCCCAGTTACATCAGTAATACAGAGCTAAATAGAATGAAGTGCTAAGGCATGTCTCTAGCCAACTATTCCAATGAGAGCAAAGATCTGCCTAATAGCTTGGGCTTAACGACCCAAATAAGGTTTACAGGCTTGGGCCAGGGTTAATGAGCTTCTTAGGGCAGGAAGTATATCTGCATAATGCTCTGTATGCCTACATGAAAACAGCACCTTTAAATGTCAAGATGTTGTGGTTTTGAAATATAAAATATTATTTATTGATATTAGGATATTTGCTTTATTTGGATATGCACCAATAGAGAAACATGCTGTGGACTAAGTTTTCCTCTCCTATCTAGTCATTCAACAGCTTTATTTTGTATCTCTTAGTATAATCAGTGGTTAAAAAAAACAATTTTTTAATTGACATAATTTTGCACTACTGTGCTAGATCATCTGACAAATTGGTAACATTCTAGGTTTAAAAAAAAAAAAAAGGGAGATAGACAAAAATTTCTCTTTCTTTCTTAAAATGAATGTTTACTAGCTGAAAAGCCAGTATAAAATTCTTTAGTTAATATTGATAAATCTGAAAAATCTGATACTGCTAAGGAAAAAATAATCCTGTTGTTCAAGTGCAGGTAATCCATTTTGCATAGGTTACATAGAGTGAGCATATAGGCAAGTGTTTCTCCAGAACAATTGAGTCAAGTAACTCAATTGTTCTTGCAGTTTTAGTGACCACTGCTCAAGGACACCAGCAAAGAGGAAAGCCTGCGGTACACTGGTCATACATCATAAGAATGCCCTCATTACTGACATAATTGTTCCCCCGCCATCCGAAGCCACGTTTGTGAGCTCAGCCACAAAGGACCTTTAGATGATACTTTTAGACACGTGGGTGAAATTTACTATGACAAAAGACAAACTTCATGTCATTCTCTAGGAACCTATTCTTAAGTTACCAACTAGGAACAAATATGGGTGAGTCTCAAGAGGAAGAGAAATAAGATGTTACATTCAGTAGCAGCCAAAACTGCACACAGTCATAGAAGTTGCCTGAATAGTAGGCACTAGCTGTTCCATTTTTGTGTGTAAAATTACACAGCAAGAGCATACAACTGGAAATCTGACATTAGCTTGGAACAACCAGTTTCAGATCCCTGAAAAACTGCAAAAATTCTCTCTTACAAAAGGCAGATATTCTCATATCCAAGTCCCTTAGGAAAGCCTTTGGTCTCACACCACTGCAAAATACTGGCTATTATATAAAGGGGCTTTTCCTTTTCAGATCTATTTATAGACCTGGTTAATAACAGTAAGCAAGAGTGAGAAACTTCAAGTTTTTTTTTCTTTCCATGGAAGGCTGTTTCCAGATATGGGTACAAAACGAATCCTCCTTTGTTCAGTTAACACGTTGAATAAAATATTTCAAACTGATAACGGCCATAAAACTTATTTTAGGGACTTCCATAAGCTAAAAAGGAGAAGCACTGCTCTTTCTGGCTTCTCTTTTTGGAGTGTACATGCATATACGTAAATTAAACTCATTTTAAGATGTTTATTCTCAGTGGCTATAGAAAAACAGACTTCAGTCGATCAGTTGCTTCTATTTACTTCACCCAAAAGGTTTCTGAAGTACTCTCCCGTACTTATCAGTTCGTTTTGAAAAACTTTCACAGCTTTAAGGATTCTCAGACCAAGAGATTCTTTCCTCTTCTCCTTGCCTTTTGCTCAGAGTGAAAGCATTTAACCTTGTCACCAATTTTAAGGGGACCGTTCAGACCTTTGAAATTAACCTCATTACAAACAACTTTCTACACAACTTTTGGTCTGAATCTCCTCTGATTAATACCAACAATGATTCTATGAAATAACACAGTAACGCTGAAAAAGTTGCATAAGAGCGGGGAATTAGGTGTACTGAAGCACAGTAGTCGTCGACTAAATTTTGCTACGCTTCACTCTCCCCTTATTTGTACTCCCAGGCAAATCAAAGTATGACTGTAAGAACCCCTTCAGAGAAAGTATACCAACCTGTTCACATTGTCACAGTCGGAAAAAATACTTTTCACCTCCGTACTTGAGCTTCAACTACGTTCATGTGAACATGAGCCAACGTCTTGTATTCCGGCACACTATTTGTAAAGTTGCTGCTTATTATAGTTAGAGTAATCACAGAAAAACATACACATATGAGAATGAACTCACCATGCTGTTCATTTTTGAGGAAGATGAGCTTGCTCTCTGCTGTCGTAGAGTGTTAACTTCTTCTGTATTTCCATCCCTCGGTTTTATGATCAGTCGACCGCTTCCAGCAGTACCTTCTGAAGAGGATCTCAGTCGTTTCTCAATAAATCTGCCTTCTCGGTACGGACTGAAGCTATTGGCAAGATCAACTATGGAAAAAGAAGCAACCAGCAATCACCACGGAGAATTATTTTCTACAAATACTTTCTTAAGGAGAATACTGCTCTGCTTGAAATGCTTGCGCTGAACGGCAATAGCTAATAGTGGAGCAACAACAATTATTTAGGTGACTTGGAGAAAGTGGATCTAGTTTATCTAGATAAAAGTGCAACTTAGGCCACTAGTTCAGTTTTCAGCTCCCACTTAGTGGTAGGCTCAGTCAGTCCACTTCTTCAAGAAATCCAGCAGGACCTTCACTCCTTCCCTTTCCTTCTCTCCTCGTTCTAGGGAGTCTCCCAAACTGCTGTCCAGTAAAACCTGCCAGAGAAACTATCACTGACACAAAATCCAACCTCTCATCCTTTGTCTCAAAGCAAGTCCACGTCGTGGACAGCCAAGCCCTACATTATCACTGCATAAGGCAATGATACACATTGGTCTTGGCTTCTGTGCAGTCTTCCTAGGTCAGCTCTGCATCTCAGCTCTCCTGCAGCCAGCAGGCTGAATCCCACTTTCCAACTACAGTTAAAAAACAACACATTGGGAAAGCAGAAAAAAATAGGTTTTGTAGCCATAGGGCAAATTTAGAGATGGGGAAAGAAAAAAGCATAATAGTATAGTAAATATAACACATAAAAGCTTATCTTCTTTTACAACTGGAGAGAGAACAGACATTTTTCTAAGGCTGTTCAAAAAAAAAATCTGTTATCACACAGAAGTTTCTGGAGGTACATTAAGAAATATATGACTTGTCATACCTGCTCCTACATTAATGTCAAGTTCATTGTGCTATCGACAATGTAATCTGCAATAAGACCAGCTATGAAAGTGAAAGTAACTATTACCAAAAGAAAATGCACAGAAATATTTTTGGTTTCACATTTGGTTTTAAACACTGTTTAGTAAAACTAAATGTACTAAAAATTCCTCCAAAGCAGTCTGTTTACAACAGACACAACTACTTACAGCCTATATTATTGAATACCACATAACATCTTTCTGTATTTGTTTCATTTTATGTATGGCTGGATTTTATGTCCATTTTAATGGTCTCCTTCTAGAGTAAAAAAAAATACATTTTGAACTGGAATATAAAACCATAAAGATTAATAACGGACTTGCATATAGTGCAGTATTAGCTCTAGTGATTCTGTGAATTTGACTCCATTTACCGAAATTTCTGTATTGCAGTTTCAACTCCAGTGTACTGCCTTCCAGATGTACAGATTAAATATATATACCTTCCGCTCATGCATAAGTTTGAAATGGATTGTATATTCCTTCTAGAAAAGTCACTGAGCTGCTCCCGTATCATTCTGCAGTACGACCACTCCGCTGTAAGGCAGATTGAGAATGAACTAATTCAAAAGACGACCTACCTTTGCAAGGAAGGTCAAAGACAGTGTTCAGGACAGGTAAGAAAAGGAAATATTTTTGTCCTAATTGACTAAGTTTCTGAGGTGAAGAGGTGCCTTCTCATGAAAGCTAATTTGGTGGTTTAACTTAACTTCATATTGCTATTTATGTACGAGATATCCAAACAAACCTATGCAGGGAGAAATAATTCAAAATGTAGGATTCCATGCTTAAATACATGCATGTATAGGCTAAATACCTAGCTATCCAAGCAAAAAGATGGGTATTAATTCATACAAATTTACACTCCTGTTCCAATACTAACACTATATATAGTGTTAGTAGTTTTATAAACTCTCACGAATTTTGGCACACCCAGAAGCAGCCTCACGATTAAACAAAAAGCGCATCAGTCTTTAGGTTGTTTTGAGGAAAAACTATCAGAGGTAAGTGTCATCTAAAAGGTGTCCTTCATTCAAAGGCCTGGTGCCTTTATTCATCTGCCACTCTACAGGCTGTGATTTTTAGACACAGCTTTTCTACCTAATCTTCCTAATATTTCCAAACACTTCAAACTACTTCTAATAAACCAAAGACCCAATACAAAAATTCAGTGATAATTAACTCCCGCCATTTCACAGATTATGCAATGAAAACTTGCACAATGTTATTTCAGATGGAAACAGAATCTAGTCATGTGTGCCAGTAATACCCATTCTCAGTTAGCCTGTAACACTGTTCGAATATAGCAAGTAAGAGTTGGAAACTCTTGAAACCCACACTGCTATAAGATATCTATGTTATCTTTCATAACCAGACTACAAAAGCAGGCTTATTTCTCTGGTGATGTTTCCATCTCAAACAGTGTAACCCTTTGGCGTAAGTCCATAATAGGCATGTCTCAAATATCCTGGGCTCAGTCTTCAACAAGAAGTGAGAAACAATACACTTGTAATTCATTTTCACAGAAAATGATAGCTACCAGCAGCACTGACGGGTTAGTAAATTATATAAATAAAAAAATTAAAAAAAAATAAAAGGCTTTTTGTTTCATTTCTTTTCATAATTTTGAATTAAACATGGCTTTGGGAGAGCACAATTCAGAATTTTTGAACTTTCTAGCATTGGTAAGGTTACCAAAAAAAAAAATTTTTACAACTAAACATTTAAAACATTTATTACAGAAGAACTAAGGCCCCTCCTACCCATCCCCAAAAGACATACCTTTAGAATAGTTTGTTTCATATCCCTGTTGTGTTTTAAAGGACTGAGGTTCAGAACGTGATATAGACTCCATTACAGGAATTGTTTCTCTTATGTGCTTAGACAGTGTTCTTTCATCTTGGTGCCCACCTAACCCCCGTGCTTTTGGAGAGCACATCACTGGTTCATCTCTGTGATGTAACGCAAACATCTCTACATTTGCATTTGCTGAGTTAATGTCTCCTGTGTGCCTGGCATCTTTAATAGGTAGTTCATTGGCTTGCAACAATACTTGTGTTTGATTAGCAGCAGTGGTTTTCAATAAGGTATTAGATTCAGCGCTACATCTCACAGGAGATACACCAGCAGACTGGCAAGTACTTTCCACATGATCCGTTTTCCTTACATGAGCAGCAGCAGGATTAGAGAAGATCTGAGAGGTAGAGACATCGTGACCAAAATCCTCTGTGAGAAGCACTCCATTTCCGCTGCCCGGCAGTGCATCAACTTCCGAAACAGAATCCTCCGTCAAGGCTACAAACTCCGAGGGGGTCTGGGCGGCCGTGAGGTCAGCCGAAAGCAACGAGGACTGCAACGGACTTCCCGCACATTCTGTCGTCTCAGCAGAACACGGAGGAGAGGACTTCACCATTAGAGGTTCACTTTCAACATATGATTTAATCTCCAACAAGCATCCAGACTGTTGCACGCACGAAACTGACTGACTCTGCGGAACTGGTTTGGAAAATTTGTAGTGCGATGAAAAAGATTTAGGGAGAAGTTTTCGCGTGGACTGTTTGACGGAGCATCGACTTTGCTCCTCTGCAAAGCCAGAATCATCACCCTCATTTTTCCCAGAACTTATACAATTTATAAAGACATTCTTATTAGTTGAAGGCTCCTTTCCCTTTTCAAAATCCTCTGTCAAAGACCTCGTTATCTTCTTGCTTCGCGAGCTGCCAAAGCTAACTGAATGCCTCCCTCTGCTTTTAATGTGTTCATCTAGGCTCAGTTTTTGAAAACTATTCAGAGAGGACTGGGCACCATTTGAGATGTTAACATTTTCACTAGCAGAGTTGGGCTTCTGCTCGCTCCCCTTCCTGTTATGGAAGCTAATGGAAGGAGTGCGGAATATACTCCGGCGCTTGCCTGTGCTCCCTGAGCTGGAGTTAGTGCTGGAGGGGGAGGAAGTATGGACACCAACAGTATTAACAGAGGAAGGCGAGGATGGAAGAGAGTCGTGTCTGCGGCTAATACTTCTCCTGAATATCGGCAACCGAGATACTAGAGTCGATCTTCTGGATCCTGAGTCCCCCATCAGGGCCTGAAGTGTTTGTGGCTCTTGGCAGCCAATACACTAATCTGGGATGAGAAAAAGAGAGAGAGAGAGAGAGAGACAAATGATGTAGCCTTGGAGTCCAAGTGAGCAAGCTTTAAGTTAGTCTAAATAAATCGCATGTCAACAGCATTTTCAAGTAGAGCTGCAATTTGTTATAAAAATTGAAGGTCTTTAGAATTTCAAAGCGGCATTCAATTTGTAGCCCTGAAAATCCAGCAGTCAAGCAAAAGATGTGGCTCAAAACATACTCTACACAGGAGATATACAACAGTATATAATATACAATGCAGTTTATACCGGGTAATAGTTTAAAATCTGCTTGCCAGCAGATATACAATTGTATCAGCCAAACGTCCTTTATTTCCACAAGTTCTTGGGACAAGTCAACTGTAAGCAAGCTAAAAGGTCTCTGAGAAGCAGCTAGAACTTCTTCATGACCCGAATAAAGCTAAACTTTATTCTGGATTCTTAGATACCCAGATTTTTGCCAGAAACCACAAGATTTAAGTATCCCAACTCACTGGGAACTGGATTTTTAATTCCTTTGTGTGTTCTGACTAAAGGCCGCCTCACAAGAGAGAAAATGCTAATACTGCCGTCCAACTAAAGTATGTACCACCACAAATTCCTAGAGCAACTTTAATTTCTAGACAATTATTGTTAAAATGTTTGATCTCATTTCTAGATTTGCACACTAAGACTTCCTTTTAACACTTTTCTGAAACCACACTGTAGCCTACTTTTCTTTCTATAACAAAGAATAAACTTTTTTTGCAGTTGTACAAAATTAGTAAACACTAGGCGTTTTTTTAGAAATATTTAAGCAATAAAACCTGACTGTGAACAGCACAGCAGATATGCTAGAGGAAAACTTATGTTTAGGAAGCATGTACTAGATTTATCTTCTTTTTGTTCTTCTTATAATAAACTACTGCTGTGAGTCAGGACCACAAGGAGAGCAATAAAGACACGTAATGTGCAATCACAAGAACAGGAGAGGCTGCAGGTATAATGCCCAAGTATAACTTCAGGAGCTGCAGGCGTTTGGCACATTGGGATAAAATCAAGTCCTTCATCTAAATAATCTTTGTATGTCAAGTGAGAAAACAAATGCATTGATCACATGAGCAATTTAATATGCTTTATGTAGCTAAAACAAGCAAATATCTATGAACAATGTGTATGTGGGGAGGGTGGGGGGTATGTGGTGAGTGAGTGAGTGGGTGTATAAATTGGGAACAGAGCATTTAAGACTTAATGAAACTAAATGTATGCAATATTATCATAAAGTGTAATGAATAAGTCCAGATATACTGTTTCTGACTAGACATCGGACTGCAATTTCTGCTCTGTTAAAATTTTTAAAAAAGCTAGTACAGCTGCAGTCTGAACATGTACTGCCAAGCAGCCACAACAGAAGGATTCACAAGCATCAGGAATCAATAAGCAATTTGGTAGTTTAAAATAAAGAGAAACAGCTTGAGAATGGTCACTAATTTTGAGGACTCACGGGTGGTGGTTGATGACAAATTAAAACCTGAGCTAGACAATACTGAGATCCTGCAACCGAAACAAAAATTTCAGTCTTATAAGGATAAAGTGGAGGGTACAGACATACAAACAGGTTATTATGATAAGTGTAAAATCCACAAAATGAGCTGAATCAAGGCTAGTTGTCCCATTTCACTTATAAGGTAGTTCACATTTGCAGCACTCTAAGAGCAAAAGCAGAGGCAATAATATAGAGAAACTGAGACCCCGTGCACTCACATATAGGCTTACGTTGTACCAGCTTGTTCATGTGCCCCTAGTTCAAGCTACTGAAAATGTGCTTTAGAAAGTCACATGCAAGCCATCCTACTCCATATAAAACCAGTTATTTATCCACTTTAAGATACATAGTGTTTTCTGTTTTTGTATATGCGTACTTGCAGACATGCAGGTCTGTAGAGATAGGTGTATATGCACAACACAAAAACGTTCATTTAGAAATTGTGAAGATTCTTGCTTGCAAGAAGGCTTCAAGAAGGCGTCGTAACTGCTGGGAAGAGATTTTAGAACGCAGTTTTACAGCTGCGGTGGATGAGTAAAATTTTTTTTAAATATACTAAACTGCTGTAGGCTTTTTTATGCTCACACCAACTTTCTCTGTAAATAAAAAGGCTCTGACTAGAAGGCCAAATGAGCTTACTCCTAACAACTGGCCTATGGATACACATAGCCCAACCTTTCCAGGTAGTTACAGCTTTACTAGAACACAACACTTAGTTACCCCTCTAACAACGGGACATAAAATGGGGCATCATAAAAGGATTTATTCACTTATTCTTCCCTGCCTCTTGAAGAAAGAATACAGACTGTCAACACTTCTATTGCTGGCTAAGCAAAAAAATAAACAAACAAATAAGCAGCACACAAAATATAAACTAATTTAATATGTTGGTCTTTCTAGATATACCATGGCTATCAAAGGACATTTCTCAAAACATGAAAAGCATCCATGTATACATACATGTATATAAACATACATGATAGTTTTTTGTATATACAGGGCAGTATAAAAGTGACCAAGTTTGGCATTGAGTTAAAATGACAATACTACTTAACGCAGAAAAAACATTAATAAACTAAGATCTTCCATTAATTTTGATTCTTACTGCAGGGGAGATGACAAACTGCCATATATGACCTACTATTAAAAAAACAGGAAATATTATTAATATAGATGTTCCTCTTCAGTCTTCACATTTAACAATTACCTGTGCTTACTGCTTTACCCATACAGAGTGAAATACAATTCAGCTACATCATTATTTTCTACCAACTCACCAGTTTTCTGTATACAATTTCCTTATCCCTACTGATATAATTCTTAAAAGCTGCAATAAGGGAAAAAGAAGGCAGCACAGAAAGACACCGTTGCAATGGTACTATGTCATCCTAGACTAATCTTCCAAATTCAAACCAGAGTGCTCACTAAACTTATCACAACAATTCCGATCCTGCAAATTCAATCTGAAACCTATATGAAACTCGCTGTCTTTTAAAGAAACTCGTGTTTCTTTAGAACACTAGCAAGAAAGCAAGCAAACAAGAAGGAGGCAGAAGAGGGAAAGACCAAGTCTAGGAAGGCTTTCAACTATATCAACTACACCAAGCACCTTGTTTAGGACAAAGTATATGCTATGCCATTAGCACATGGTATGGACAGTCAAGAACATTCTATATGGTGGATACGGGAATCCGATTACCTGATTCAGCTCGAGTGACCAGGAATCAGACTAATCCGGACAAATTATACATAAATTCCCTTCACTGTAAAATTATAGGTGTGTTGGGTTTTGGTTTGGTTTGGGGAGGGGGAGGATTTTTTTGTTTTACATTTCAAATGATATTATTGTCTTGCCAAAAAAGTACACTAGGATTGATTCTTATCATGCTATTATACACTCTTAGAATAACTTGGTCAAATACATAAACCATTACTTTTTAATGTTTTCAATTCTAAAATCCAAATATTGCTGAAACAAAACATTTACACTTCGCATGAAATGTTTACCGTTTGAGTGCTACAATAGATAGACACTCAAATTTTGCTCCTTATGCAACTGACTTGGCAGATACTGTCTTGTGTAATGCCAGTTGCAAAAAAGTAGGAGATATTAAAGAAAAATAAGCATTTGGAAAATATTTCATTGCAGCATGAATAATTATCTCATGCTCTGTTCTTCCTCATACACCTAGCTACATCTCAGAATCTACACGCTCCTGCGTTGAAACCAGTACAAATGAAAAACAGGTAAAGTGTGAACAAAATGTTTTCCCTCTTACTACCAATTTAAGAAGTAATTCAAACGGAAATAGTTTCTTTTCACTTTGCTCTGCAGCAAGATGCTCCAGAAATGCAAATACTACAACAACTCAAACCTCTGATTAATCTGGAAAACATCTCAGACTCACGTGCTTGATCGCAGGAGAATACAAAGAAGCTGGGCGTTTTATACGTGAGGCTTATTCTTTAGCCCCCACAGGAGTCCTTAAGAACCATCCAGCTACACAATATTAGCCCTTGATCTTGCCTACAGAAGTGGTACGAGTAGAAAAAGATATCAATAAATAGGACATACAATTTTACAAAAAGTTCCACATTTATTTAAAAAATAATTATGCTTAGTTAAGAGAAACAAATTGCTCAACTTCAGGACAATGAAAGTAAAGATGGAAAAAAAGAAAACGCAAATGTCAAAATGGGTGAGACCATCAAATCTTAGGTCAATGACTCTAGAGAAATCTACTCCACTAATCCACCAACTGAAAAATGAAAAGTGGTATTTTTAAGTTCATCTTCTGTCAGCTCGTTACACACCAAACTGTGCTGGAGTAGAGAGTATATTTAATAAAGAACAACTCCTGAGGATGTTTTTGAACACCAGTAGATGGAGCAGTGGATCTAATTTTTCATTGCTTACAAATATGAAAACGTTTTTACATTTATCATGGCCTTTGAGACAAATTTAGGACTTGAAATTATTTGCAAATTTTAGCATCATCATAATTACACGTAGAACCAAAAGCTAATTACGCTTATTCAGCAAAAAAAAAAAAAAAAAAGCAATACACGTGTAGGCCAATAGAAAATGCAACCTTTATAAATAACCACACTGTTACTACCTGTCAACGTTTTTTAAAAAACGATTTCCTAAAGATGTTTTTCTTCAACATCCACCTCCTAGAAATACCACACAGTATCTTCCATGCAAAGAACAAAATAGAACTATATATTTAAGTCTAAATTGAGAGATAACACGATACATAATCTTGTATATTTTATTCATTATGTGATTACTGAGTCAAAGCATTAAAAAAAAATGTGTCATCTCTCTCCTCTAACATGAGGTCAGCCTAAAAATCACACTGCTGTGGGGCAGATTGGTAAGGAGCCGAAGAGTATTTATGTATTGTTCTTTGATTTGAGACTTTCTGATTAACATATATGAATGTTTTAACCTAAGCACATTCTCAA